TGGAGTGGTCCCCCGTCAAAAATTATTGCCCACCCATGTTCTTTTCCTTTCACTTCTTCCTGATCAAGGCCCCAGGCTGTGGAACCTATCTCCCCCAGAGAGGGGAGGGCAGGACACTTCCAGATCCCATCCAACTTCTTCGGCTGGCCAGCAGAGTTTCCTGCAGTCATTCACCAACCGGGGACTGGACACCGGACTCACTTCCCAGCCCCTTAGCCAATTTCTTTTGCACTTGAACTCCTCATTCGTGCCTGGCATCAGCCATGAAGAGACCTTGTCGGTATTTATTGTTCAGAGAGGTTTGTCTCTGTTGCTCCCTGCTGAGGAGCAGTATTTACAGTGGCTAGTGTGACATATTATTAAAGCGGGGGGGCCTATTCAGTAAGATTTCTAAGTGGCTGGACATTCCCTTTAACTCTACGTACATCCCCCTCCCCCAGGAATTCCTCCATGGATGAGTTTGTTATTCCATTTAAGGCTAAAGGAAGGTAACCTTATATATAAGTATTATAATATGCTAGCTGTGGTTCCAAACCCTACAATTTACAGCAGAAATGACATTCAACTCCAATTTGCAGCAGAGGTTTGAGCGAATACCGTCTCATATTTTTAAATAAAGGTTCTGATATGTGCTTCCGTACAATATAGTCTCAGACTGACCTGAGCAGGAATTAAGCATCAAATTCCCTCTTTTTTTAAGAGAACAGTTACTTGATCAAGGCAGTCATAAATATATTGTGTTTGGCCCTTTCTTGAGCTACTGCATCAAGGTTGTTAAAAGCAACTCCAGTTTATTCTAGCTTCAGAAGCAAGAGTAGAATGACTGTGAGTGTTTGAAGGCTGAGGGATTGGATATTTAGCTGGGATTCCTTGTAACCATTTGATTGCCGTGATTTTAATCTCTTTGTTCTAAGCTTGATTTTTTCAGGAAATACATAAGAGCCTGAAAGACTAGAGCGTATATTGTCTGCCCCATCGTGTTGCCATTTGCGAGCTGAAAGCTATAAAAATGCCGTTTTGAACATTAAATAGCAAAACAAAACAGGCAGGTTGCGACTAACAAGTGAGTCCTCCCCTCCCCGCTTTAAATTGATAGTTGCTGGCTCTGTTTGTCTAAATCTGGGCAGCTGTTACACCCCATTGGATATGAAATTGTCTCTGTTATAAATGGCCCTTGTCATAAAACCATGCAGTTCTTGAAGCAGCAATTCACTTCAGCTACCTGAGGTGTAAATGGAGTCTAATCCGTCCTGTTACCATCTCTCCAGTGAACAACCATCCTGTCACGCTGGCAGAATTGAGACACTAGCATCAATGAGCTGAGCCGCCAGCATTTTAGAAGTCCGGAGCATTTCCGGGTTTATTCCCTTCTGCAATGGTTGAGACCAAGCATCCAGTGATCTGGATGACTGCCCTTAACCAATGATCAATTCCATCCCCCGCCAGTACGTTTGAAAAGCAGCTGCCACCATTGCAGTATTCAATCGGTGCTTTCAGTCGCAAGCCTCCGAAATGCGCGCCGAGGTTTTGTGAACACCTGAGAACCAGCTTTGGATTTGGGTTGGAAACGATCCGTTTTTTCGGCACTCGACAGCAAAGGATGGAGCTCCCTCCCCGCAGAAGAAGTAGCGTAATCCTAACGTTTCCCTAAGACCTCTATAACGTGCTGTAATATAATTACAACATCGCCAGAGGGCTTTGTGACTGGGGCTGAGTAGACTTGGCTTAAATTTCACATGCTCTGCCTTTGCCTTTGCCAGCTCGCTGTTGGTAGCTATTATAATGCTCCTCCCTAGCCAAGTTAACATCATGTGAACAGGCACAAGAACCTTCAACAGCTGAAGTGGGTGCCTCTCGAGGGGCTCTTGCCTTCTTGCCCAATCAGGCGCTTAGGCTATGTCTAGACTACGTAGAATTTTCGAGAGAGGATCTTTCAAGAGTGAAAATGGAAAAAAAAAAAGCTCTTCCTTAAAAAAGGAGGTTTACGCATTTTTTTCGAAAAAGGGTTCCCCCCCCCCAAAAAATGCATCCAGACTACTTTCACTTTCGAAAGATCCTCTTTTGAAAGTGAGATCAGAAGACGATATGCAAATTCCTGCCGAATTTGCATATCCTCTTTCGGAAAAAAAACAGTAGTTTAGATGTACCCCAAGTGGGCCTAAAATCTTACTGAGAGTAGGGTTGAGAATTCAGGCTATCCAGGTGCGGTCTTGCATTCTCTCTCTTCTGAGCTTTCATTGCTTCCCGCCCTTGTGATAATACGATAGCAAAGCACCAGTCTCATATCTAGAAGCACAGCTGACGTAGCAAATGATCCCTGGTGTTAAAAGTTGCGGTGAAAACAACTCAGCTGGAGTTGTTTTTACTACCACTTTTGACACCAGAGATCCACTCCAGTCATTTGCCACTTCAGCTGGGCTTGGAGAGAAGGGCAGAGGGAGATTCAGTGAAGAAAAAGGGCAGGTTCTTAGCAAGATGATGGACGTGGGTCAGAAGTGGGAGTGCCATCTCTCTGTTCATCCTGGATAGTCCGCTGTTAATATAGCCGATGATTGCATTCTCCCTCTTAGCCCCACAGCACGAACTGCTCATACCCCCCGGCTTGCCCCAAAGGCATTTCAGAGTCGCAGCTTAGCAGGACACAGCTGCCCATCCTGTCACTGCGACCTCCATCATCAGTGTCTAATTCTTTGTCTGCAGCCCCCCAGCAGCCCCTCGGTGCACGCTTCTTCCTGGGTAGCTTTAATTAGAGGTGACCACAATCCCTTTAATTCAAGTATAAGAAGGGTAGCTGTGTTAGTCTGGATCTGCAAAAGTGATAAGGAGTCTTGTGGCACCTTAGGGTGTGTCTAGACTACAGGGTTTTGTCGACAAAAGTGGACTTTTGTCGACAAAACTATACCTGCATCTACTCTACCGCCGAGTTCTGTCGACAGTAAGTTGACAGAACGTGGCAGTTTTGTCGATGGCGGTAAACCTCATTCTACGAGGAATAATGCCTTTTTTGGACAGAGTTATGTCGAAAAAAGGTTCTGTTGCATCCACACTGCTTTTTCAAAAGAGAACATCTAGACTCTGTCAAAAAAAAGGGCTTGCTTTGTCGACAGAACTGGCTGTAGTCTAGATGCTCTTTTTGGAGAGAGGCTTTGTCGACAGTATCAGTCAACAAAGCCTTTGTCAACAAAAGCCTGTAGTCTAGACATACCCTTATAGACTAACAGATTTATAGGAGCATAAGCTTTTGTGGGGAAAGACCTACTTTGTCAGATGCATGTAGTGGAAATTTCCAGAGGCAGGTATAAATATACAGGCCAGAATAAGGTTAGAGATAACGAGGTTAATTCAGTCAGGAAGGGTGAGGCCCACTTCTAGCAGCTGATCTGGAGCTGTGAATACCAAGGGCATGTCTAGACTACATGGCTCTGTCGACAGAGCCATGTAAACGGGTGAGGCCCACTTCTAGCAGCTGATCTGGAGCTGTGAACACCAAGGGCATGTAAACTAGCTTACCCGACATAGTCAACAAAATGGACGCCACGCTGTGCCGACAATCAGCTGATCCGGCACAGCGTGGGAGTCTAGACGCGGGGTCAACAAGGGAAGCCTTTGTCAACCGCTCCCTTATGCCTCGTGAAACGAGGTTTACAGGAGCAATCGACAAAGGCTTCCCTTGTTAACCGATCCGCATCTAGACTCCCACGCTGTTCCAGATCAGATGATTGTCGGCACAGCGTGGCGTCCATTTTTATTTTAATGAAGCGGGGATTATTTAAATCCCTGCTTCGTTGGCTATGGCAGGTAAGCTAGTTTACATGGCTCTGTAGACAGAGCCATGTAGTCTAGACATACCCCAAGAGAGGAGAAACTGCTTTTATAGTTGGCTAGCCATTCGCAGTCTTTGTTTAATCCTAAACTGATGGTGTCAAATTTGCAGATGAACTAGCTCAGCAGTTTCTCTTTGAAGACTGGTCTTGACTTTTTTTGCTGCAGGATGGTTACCTTTAAATCTGCTACTTTGTGTCCTGTAGGAGAACACTTCAGTCTTAGGATTAAACAAAGACTGTGAATGGCTAGCCAACTACAAAAGCAGTTTCTCCTCTCTTAGGGTATGTCTAGACTACAGGTTTTTGTCAACAGAGGCTTTGTCGACAGATACTGTCGACAAAGCGTCTAGACTACATCCAGTTCTGTCAACAAAGCAAGCCGCTTTGTCGACATGACAGTGTAGACGCAAAGGACCGTGTAGATGCAATAATGCCTTCTGTTGACAGAATTCTGTTGACAAAAGGCGTTATTCCTCGTAGAATGAGGTTTACAGCCGTCAACAAAACTGCTGAGTTCTGTCGATGTTATGTCGACAGAACTCAGCGGCAGTGTAGACGCAGGTATAGTTTGGTCGACAAAAGTTCACTTTTGTCAACAAAACCCTGTAGTCTACTCTAGACAAATTCTTGGTGTTCACACCTCCAGATCAGCTGCTCGAAGTGGGCCTCATCCTCCCTGACTGAATTAACCTCGTTATCTCTAGCCTTATTCTTGCCTGTATATTTATACCTGTCTCTGGAAATTTCCACTACATGTATCTGACGAAGTGGGTCTTTGCCCACGAAAGCTTATGCTCCTATAAATCTGTTAGTCTATAAGTGCCACAGGACTCGTCCCTTTAATTCAAAGTGCTGATAAAGCTGCCTGGTTAGAAAACCAGGACAACGCCTCCTCCTCCTCGGCCACTTTCCTGGGCTTCCCTTTTCATGGATTCATCCAGCTGCAGATTCAGGGCTGAGCGCCTCGTCGTGGCTCCTGTTTGGCCCCGCGAGTAAAGCCACGTGGGATGTCTTTCAGCAGTCTCTGGCTCAGTCTCAGCCTCGTGGGATGTCTTTGCAGACCCATTGGGATGGGCCTCGCTGCGGTGGGCGGGGAGGGTTTGGGAGATGCCCGGTATTTCTAGGGAAGCGCTGAGCTAAGCCCAGCTTGTGTGTTTTGTCTGCCTCTATTTTCAGCACGCTCACCATCTCCGGGATCAGCCAGGAGGACGAAGCTATTTACCAGTGCATTGCGGAGAACAGCGCTGGCTCCACTCAAGCCAGTGCCCGCCTGACGGTGCTGTGGGCGGATGGGTTGCCCGGCCCCCCACAGAACGTGAAAGCCGAGACTGTCTCCGCAACCACCATCCAGGTATCCTGGAGTGAGCCTCTGCAGAATACCAAGGAGATCATCGGCTACGTACTGCACATAAGGAAAGCCGCAGGTATGGGGTAAAAAGCCGCATGCTCCCCCTCCTTCAATACTTGACTGTTATGGCGATAAGGCCCATGTAAATGACTAGCTAGGGAGATGATCGGGTTATCTCCTCCCCATCATCTGCATCCCTCGGAGGATTAATCGTTGTAGGCAGGGCAGCGAATAGGAGGTGAGGAAGCAGAATATCAAAAAAAGAGGCATAGCCTAATGGCTGAATACAAAGAACCAAGTTCTGGTGCTTCTTTGAGAGGGAAGGGAAAATGAAGCTCGGTGGGCCATAGTGAAAGGAAGTTGATAGTGAAACTCCCATCGGGAGCAGAATCAGGCTCTGGCACTTCCTTGGTTCCTTGGTTCCCACTTCCTAATGGCTCCCGGCTCTCCCTGTCTTGTGCCTTTCAGACCCCGTGGAGATGGAATACCAGGAGGCTGTCAGCAAAAGCACCTTCCAGCAGCTGGTGACGGATTTAGAGCCCTCGACCAGTTATAGCTTCTATATAAAGGCTTATACCTCCCGGGGTGCCAGCAAGGCCTCCGAAGTCATGGTGGTGAGCACGCTGGGAGAAGGTAAGGAGGCCGCAAGCTCGAGAGAGCTGATGCATGGAAGCCTGCGAATCGAATTATCATTTATCGGGCCGATGCATGTACCTGAATATTTTCAATTCTGTCTTCTTATTGTTCCCCCTTCTCCCTGCTGCACAGAATTCCCCTGTCATCTTGTGGCAAGGAGCTAGTGACAAGGAGTTCCTTGTCCTGGCGCTATCGTAACGGCGTGATAGCTGACCCCTCCACTACGGAGCCTAATATTGTGTAACTGGAAGTTATTGAGGGTTCTTTTTTTTTTTTAATGCAACAATTCCTGTGTTGGTTGTGTGACCTGTTGCAGGTGAAAGGCTCTTTATTGTTTGTAATGTAGCAAAGGAGAGTCTTTGACAGCAAAGTTTGGGAGTTTTCTCCCTATGTCTGTCCCCATCTCAATACGCTACAGAGATCTCTACAATATTTTGTGCCGTGTAATGCCAGTGACTTCCACACACGGCCCTTTTTGTTCCATTTCTCCTTACCCTTGGACAGTTTCCCTTCTCCAGAAAATGAGTGAATCATCTCAGCCTTGTGCCTACAATGCCCCCCCACCCCCGCCCACCAAATTCTGTATAGAGGTCTTGCAGGATCACGCCCTAGTGACGGGGGAAGTAAAGACTGTTTGCCAGGTAGGGCTTCGGGTCTCTGGGCCAGATTCTCAGCTGGTATGAGGTGGCATAGCTGCCGTGAGGGAGCAGATGAGGTAGAATGAAACCAGCAGGCTGTGTAGAAGAGACCCACAGGTGATGTCGAGTGGTTGGAGCTGCTCCTGGTTCATGGCTCCAGGGGTGAGGCTGAAGAAAGGCAAAAGGTATCTCTACGCTGGCAGCCAATGGGAATAGCACTGTCAGGCTCAGGAGGGCCCCACTGAGGCCAATGGGAGTTGAATGCTCAGCACGTCTCAGGATCAGGTCAGTGTTGTGTTGTAACCTCATGTTTTAAACGAAGACTAAAGCCCAGCTCCTCCAAGCTATTCTCGTGTTTTAAACAAAGACTAAAGCCCAGCTCCTCCAAGCTATTCTGAACTCCCGTCGAGGCTCTGGGTCTAAGCCCCTTCTCATGGTGCAAGGGTCTCAGGCTTCCCAAGATCCCGGCGAGCCAAACTACTGTAGTGACGTAAGCACAACTCTGGTGTCCGCAGCTGTTCCTGACAAACCCTGTGGTGAACGTTCTTTGCATGAGCGTGGTTCTCCTCCAGGCAGCTGATGGAGAGCGAGTCCTTGCTACGTTCACGGAGCAAGTGGTGGTAGCGGAAGTTTCTCTCCCAGCCACAAAAGCCCGGCCCTGGAGTCACCTCAGCTTCCAGTTCAACCTGTGGGGGCCTAGTCGTACCTGGGCCCTCTCTGTGGAGGCTGCCAGTGTCCCCACTGTGAAAGCGCTCTTTGAGATGGGAGATGCTTGTCCACAGGAAACTGGACAGAGACTGCCAAACCTGCTTGACAGGCCACCGTCCTGAGAAGTGGTAGTTTTCAGGCACTGCCAATGTGCATGAAGGGGGAGCGTTTTGTGAAGGAATGGGTCTCTCTTGCTTTGAGCATTTCAGATACCGGATGACCCTGGGTTACCCCAACGGCCTTTTCTTTTGCTGCCAAATTCATAAGGGAGATGTGTTCTCCCTCAGGAAAGCACTCTGAATATGAATTTGAAATGGAAAGATCAGTGATACAAGGAGAAAAGGGCCTATTATAGGTACAGGGCTACTGACCTCAAGTGGTGGGTCAGATCCGAACTCTGATCTGCACTGGGATTTTGGCTGCTGTATTTAAGGAGAAGGGCTAATAAATCCTTACCATGGCATGAGCTGAGTAATTACCCTGAAAGGTTATTCATTCGGTGCTCTGGAATGAACCAGTTATCCTTTTAGCCCGGCTTTCCTTTCAGTGTAGAAAGAGGTGGAGGAGGTAAACTTTAAAATCCTTGACCCAAAGCTCTGAGTTCAGCAGCCGTAGCCAGCAGCCATGCATGCCTCATAAAACTTGGTGTTTTGGGGGCAAGGTTGAGGCAGGTTGGGTAGGACTTTTTGACCTTATTACCTTAAATCAGCACATGCATGTTTACGTATTTTGTATCAGGGTAATAAATTTCCGATCTCTTTGAAGCTTGAAGGCATCATCGTACAGCCCTACTGTCTTTAAAAACAGCACTGCCCTGTGTACCAAAGATTAACCACTAAGTTGCAATTTGAAATGAATACGTAACCCTCGCTAATATCCCATTCTTTCTCACTTCTTTTATATTTTTCAATTGCTGCTGCTTAAAGGGGCTCTTGTCACCTAGTTAATCCATAAAATGTTCTTCTAACAGGTTCTGCTAAGAACAGAAGTGTTTTTCTGACTATTTAAAATTCGGTGAAACCAGGTTTGGTTTGTGTTTTGGGGCGAGAGGGAGACAAGGAGCAACTTGGGGTATGTGTACATTGAGATAAAAAGGGAGCCTAAGTCAGCTGACGTGGGCCAGTCATGGCCATGCTGCTGGGCTTTTACTGCAGTGTAGACATCTCTCTTCATATACACAGATTTTTTTCTCTGGGATCACCGAGTGATGTCATCACGTCACTCTGGCTATGTCTAGACTGCAAGCCTCTTTCGAAAGAGGCTCTTTCGAAAGATACTTTCGAAAGAGCCTCTTTTGAAAGAGAGCGTCTAGACTGCACGCGGAATTTCGAAAAAGCAAGCCGCTTTTTCGAAAGAAAGCACCCAGTGAGTCTGGATGCTCTCTTTCTAAAAAGCCTGTTTGCTTTCAAGAACGCCTTCTTTCGAAAGAGCACTTTCGAAAGAAGGCGTTCTTCCTCGTGGAATTAGGTTTACCACCGTCGAAAGAAAAGCCGCATTCTTTCAATTTAATTTCGAAAGAACGCGGCTGCAGTCTAGACGCAGGTGAAGTTTTTTCGAAAAAACCCCTGAGTCTGGACACAGCCTCTATGTCCCACCGCTTCCTCTGCCCTCAGCCGCCCTGCCTCCTCCCTCCCTCCCTGCTGCCGCAGGTTGAGAGCCTCATGTCCTCCCCCCTCTTGGGGGGGCCAGAGCTGCACGGCCACGGCCACCCCCCCTCGCGGGGGGGGGGAGGCTGGGAGCTGCGTGCCCTCCCCAAACCCCCAGCCCTGTCACACACACCCTTGGCCGAGATCTCATATCCCCAGCCCTCTCACTCATACCCTCCAACTTGAGACCCCCACACCTCCATCCCCCTCACTCACCACCCTGCTGAGACCCTGCACCCCCAGCCCAGCTCCCTCACTCACCCCTTCCACTGAGACCCTGCACCCCCAGCCTGCTCCTGCCCCCTCTCCTGCTCTTGCACCCTCTTCTCTGGCCGGACACCTACCTCCAGCCTGCTCCTGCCCCCTCTCCTGCTCTTGCACCCTCTTCTCTGGCCGGACACCTACCTCCAGCCTGCTCCTGCCCCCTCTCCTGCTCTTGCACCCTCCCCTCTGGCTGGACACCTACCCCCCGAGAGGGGGGTTGATGAGTGTAGCGAGCGGGGGGCACAGCCCCCTAGTACCTTTAAAAGGCCGTATTCTGAGTTGCTCTGTTCCTGTGTGTGGTGGAGAAAGAGAGTGTGGCAGAGGTGTCTTTAAGCCAACTTTGCAGTCCCTAAATTTTAGGCGCAAGGGCCTATTTACTTTCCATTCTGCTTCCCATAGCCCTCTCAGCACAGCCATTTATGCCTCCCTGATTTTGAGGGTCAGGCTTGATGTTAAGACCTCATTGAGCCATTGCTGCTTTACGTTTCATCACTGACACAGGCCTTGTCTTTACTTACCGGAAGATCGGTGCTCCGGAGATTGATTTAGCGGGTCTAGTAAGGGTCCACTAAATCAAACGCTGAGGGTGCCCCTAACACCCCCAGTACTCCTCAGAGTCGCGAGGAGTAAGGGAAGTCAGTGGGAGAGTTTCTCCCATCGACCTCCTGCTGTGGAGCCGCCCCAGAAATTCTGTTTAAGAATTCTTTATAGCTGGAGTTGCATATCTTAAATCGAATGTCTCTCCCTGGCCATAGTGTCTTTAATGGACTTCACACCAGTGGAAGAGCTCCTCTATGCCACATCCCCAGCTGGTGTTTTCTGTTCAAGGATAAAATATTCTATCTAGCAGTCTGAAAGGAATTGCGAGAACAGAGTCTGTGGCATCTCAGTTCCATAAAAACAGAGAGCACTAGACTTGGCTGATCACTGAAACCAAGTTTATATACAGAGGAACATATTCATATGGATGCTTAGGTGGCTGTTTTGGTGAAATCTTACTGACAGGAGAATACTTAAGCTGGACAGGACTGTGGGTATGTCTACACAGCACGGATATTTTGGGATCCCAGAGGTATCCCGAAATAGCTACCCCATGCCTTAACAAGCTGCCCGTTATTTCAAAATAGGTTTTGAAATAACAGGAGGCAAGCTTTTTCAGCATTCCCGTAACCCTCGTTCCATAAGGGTTAAGGGATGTCTCAAAATAGTGAGTTATTTCAAAATAGAATCGAAATAAGATACGCAATTTGTGCTACACAAATTGCGTATCTTATGTCGAGTTTAGGGTGTTGTGTAAACGCACCCTGTGAGTGCAGAAGAAATGAGTGTGTTTGTGAAAAGAGCTGACTGAATTTATTGTGACAGGAAGAAGATGTTGGTGCCCCTCTATACAGTATTCCAGGTGAAATGTCTTATCTGAGGCTGTCAAGTTTCCCTCAGGATGGCTCTGTCATCCTGACTCGGGGGCAGATAAATGGTGTCACTTGGTGTCACTGCCACTAAGAAACGTATTCGATGTGCTCAGCTTTGGCATGTCTGTGGCCTCATCCTCACAAAGCCACATCTTGACACGATTTTGTATCTTAAACAAAATGCCAAGGTGAGTTTTGCCCTGGCTTATGCTACAGATAACCCCAGCGTACGCTGTAGGGTTCAACGAACCCTCCATATCCTAGTCACTTCTGCATAGCTGTAGCCATTGCCGTTCCGAGCCAGCGGGTGAATGTCAGCACAATGCAGA